TTTACCAAAGATTGTTTGAGGCGGAGATAGCGATATGTTCTAGTCTCCCTGACAAGGATGATCATTATATTAATAACGACGAAAGTGTACCCCAAGAGGTGAGTGAGGCTGATGAATCACGCACTAATGGAGTATCCTCCAAGCCTGATGAGGCGCGTACAGTTTCCATTGCGCCGGAAGCAAGTTCAATACAGGACCTTAGTGACGGAGTGATTTGGATCAAAGAACCAATTGCTCATCCTGATCTAATTGAGCCGATAGAGACTATTGACGCCACTGAGTGTAATAATGAGGAGACGCTTACGTCTCCTCTTGATAGTAACGCTAAACTTATTTCTAACGCTCTTCTCGATCCGGCCGCACGGATTCTTCAGAGGTTTTTCCGTATTGTTGTAGCTCGCAAAGAATTACTGCGGCTTCAGCAGATAAATCGTGAACGATTAAACATTGAACTGGCAGCTGAAACATTTCTCAATAACGCATCTACCGCCATCCAGTCCGTTTTTAGGGGTCACCTTGCACGACGACATGTACAGGATCTATATGCAATTCGAGAGCGATACTCGCAGACCCTACGGGATGAATCCCATTTTGGAGATTATGATGAAAACAAAGAGGTTTCCACAGCTGCTGAAGAGAATTTTAAGGAAAAGTCATCTGAGGGTGATGTGTTAATCCACAACAAAGATGAAAACCATTTTGATAAATTATCGTTTTCTGCCCACAAACAAGTTCATACAGGGAAGTCTGTACCAATTCCTGCTTCCATGAATTCCGCATTAACACCTTTTGGAAGTCAAAGATTAAGCCATAGCACCGCATCTATTGAGGAAATAGTGTCTAATGATTAGTCAGACCATTGATGTCCAGAGGGTCCTATTTTTTCATAAATAATCTCAAGAAATTTATCTGGATATGAAAATTAAACAAAGCTAAACATCCTCTATATGTTATCTACTTCATCGAAATTATCGTGAATTTCTACATGTTTCTAATAAACTCACATACACACTTATATCCATCTATCTATACGTATATAGCAATGATGTATTATTACCAAGGGGTCATTATTCTATATATATATATATATATTTATTTATTTCAAGGGTTTTAAGATTTGAATATTCCCCCCTTTTTTTTGCACATGTAAAATCATCCAAATTGATAGTAGCAGTAATGATTTGCAAGTGTAATTTGGCAATGTTTGCGGCATTGGGTTACCCTTAGTTTTGATAGCTTATTTATTTTACACTTCTTTTTTCAATCTTAACTAGGTCTCAACCCAAGATTACTACGGCCAGTAAAAACAAAGGAATACCTACAATAAACATAATATATCCCTAAGATAATTTCACCCTGTTACTCTCTAAGAAATAATAATAGTAATAGAAAGAAAATAATGCTATTTGAGCCCTGTGGTAATCTCCTACAAGACTATAGCGTGTGTTGTGAGGTGCTTCGTCTTACCGAGCGTGAGGAAATCTATAGTTCGATCATGACTAGCGATGATATAGTGAAGCAGCGCGAACGGTATATAACTCGAGCATCTGGAACTGAAAATTTTGGCTTTTGGAATAATACCCTTCTTTCAGGGGAGAGTCTTTTCCAGAGCTCCAAAATTATTGATAAAGGGGTAGTACCGATATTATCTTCACTTACCAATCCCGAAGACCAAAATGAAGTCGATAGGAGAGGAAGAGGTTCGTTACTCAAACCAAATTCTACAGCACTAGATTCGAATCGAAAAAAAGGATCTATTTCACAAAGTAAGGGTCGTAAGAATTCGACTACAGTTGAAGGTAATACTTCTGAGGGTATTTCTCTTCCCACAAAGACACTTTTCACTATAGTCTCTTTACGTAACGCTAAGTTTTGTATTAACCAGCGGGATATGGCACCCCTAACGCGCGCCATACCTCATTGCACCTCACTGGTTTCGGTGGAGATGGTGAGATGTGGGTTGTCGGTGGAAAGTTATATGTTGTTAGTGGAGTCCATCTTTAAAAGTCGTCTAGTAATCAATGTTGCTGTAGATTTCAATTATTTGCCACACACAGGTTTTGTAGCTGATCCCACTCTGCCACCTTCAGAGAGCTTTCCAACAGACAAAGGGAGTAAACTGGAGACAAAGGGTGCTACCGCCATAATAGAGGTCGCTCCACATAACCCTGAACTTTGCATCCGCACTTCTACCCTCGCACGGACCGAGACGGTAACTGACAAACCTAAGAAACGATCACAGAGTCCAGGCTCTAATAGCGCTATATCACTTCATCATGAGAAGGCTAAAGCAACGACTATTATCGCACCGGTGGAGAATAGGCCTTGTACTGTTTACCTCAACCCCACTGAGCTCTGCGGTTTGCATCTTGTCCCCACATTGCTTGAAGAGCAGCTTCAGGAGGAGAAAGGAAGAAAAGGAAAGGTTGATCCAAAGAAGCTGAGCCAATTACAGTCCCAGCAAGAGTTACTTCAACAGTTCAATGACTCCCATCGGATCATGCTTCCACGCGGCTGGGAAGGGATGCTTTTCACTGGTGTTAAATATTTGAGCCTGCGAGGCAATGGGATTGATGATATTTCAGTCAAGTGCATTGTGGAAACCATTCTGTGTAACCCTTACACGCAATTACTTTCACTAAACTTATGGGGTAATCGCATCACTGATACAGGCGCGAGTTATTTGGCTGTTCTTTTGCAAAAAAATCGAATCCTGCGAGCGCTTGATATTGGACACAACCTCATTGGGGATATCGGTTTGCTTGATATTATTGATAGTTTTCGTATGGTAGAGCTCACTAGTTCTGAGCAGATCGCCGCCTATCGCAACCTAATGCTCACCCGTCCGAACGCCAGCGAGGCGGAGCGCATGGCCGCGCCGCAAACGGTTTCGCACACGGCGTATCCCACCTACCAGGATCTTTACAACCAGTGGTTCTCGCAGGTGATTCGACCCTCTCAGATGCTTTTGGATGAAAAAGGTGTCAGTGCCCCGAACGGCTACCCGTTAACGCGAAGACGATCCCTAACGAATAATGTTAGCAAACTTATCGGTTCTAAAGGCACTGCGAGTGGGGCTGGTAAGAATGAAGCAATGGCGACCATTCAGCGCCCCATCACACCCTTTGACCGGTTTTGTGTTCGGGTACCGGTACTTGACGAGGCCGGTGCGGCGACCTCGGGGTTTGTAGTGCGAGCCCCTGGGAATACCGTGCTCGAGATGCTTAGTCTTGGTGAGAATGAGTCCATTACTTTATCAGGAGCTATTGAGGCATGTCGGCGATTGTCAATGCACGAACCACACACCGATGAGGAGATGCAATCCATGTCTGTCCCTTCCGAAAACAATAGTAGGTGGAACTCAGCTTCAGGTGATCGGAGTCACGGCACTTACCCTGATGCTATAGTTCCAAATGTTCTTAATAAAGCCAATACACATAGCATGAATACTAGTATTTTTCCACCTGTGCAGACGCCAGAGCTTCATTGTGCTGATTTACACCTGCGGACATGCATAGTGAGCTCTTTTCAGTTTAGTAAAAGGTACTCCTGGACTGAAATGCAGAAGGTACAGAAGCAAATTCAGGAAGCCTTGGAACGATGGTCAACCTTGAATACTGAGCGGGCTTCACAAGCAACTGAACCTATAGGGAATCAAACCAAGTCGGACGAATAATATACAAGCTGAAATGCCCCTTAAAATGTAAGGCGTAGACAATTCACTGCTTTCATCTCAAAAGGCTAAAAACAGATTATTAAATTATGTTTAGTGTGTATGTGTTGTTAAAAAATGTATCTATAAATCCATATATATATATATATTTATGCCTTTTTAATTTACTTTTTTTACCCTTTTTGGTGTCCTTATTGCATAGAAGGATATCATTATTAGAACATTTATTACATTTGTGAAAAAAAAGGTAAGATCTGAAAAAAAAAATGCTGCACTTACTTTGCATTTTCTACATTTACCCATGCTCAGATCATCACTTTATACTTCTGTTTTTCAGTTTACACATGCCACTCTCTTGCATCCCTTTTCCCTTCCCTTTAACCCCAGAGATCACCTAAAAAGAGATTTTTACCTTTAGATCACTTTTTTTTCACCAAAAATTAGCTTTATTTTTTCTATTATTCTAATATAGCATGTCGTGGCGAGCTCGTTTTACACCTTGCATTGGCTCCATTATAGTATGGTTGAACCCCAAGGATCCAAACTGTTTTGGTGTTCGCAACTGGTGGCGAAACAATATGCCGGAGCTGCAGCTACTAAACCCATTCTGCATTTTTACAATTCAGGAGCTTTCTTTTGGAGAGCCTCATATGCACATAGTTTACACACCAATAGATCAGCGTATGATTCGCCTTGCCGGTGCCACTGAGGAGGAATGTGAGGACATCATGGAGGCTTGTATTACCTACGGCATGAATCATGTGATTCTTGATAGACCCCGAGCAGATGACGGCGGTGATCTCATAAACCAGCCATCCGTCATATCCTTTGGGTATATGGAGAGTTTCACGGCAAAGCTGGAGGTGTCCCCCCCGGCAGATATTGGTCAGCATACAACCGAGGGTGTAGATGATCCAGGGCAGAAGCCTCGTGTCTATCCGCGAAACATAGGCTCTAAATTGATACCCTGATTAGTAAATGAGGCAAACTCTTCACTTCTGAAAAGGAATATCGTTGGAAAACAGTTTTATTGTGAGTTTTTTCCTTTTTATGCGTAGAAGGTATTTTTTTATAGTAGTTTTTTTCACTATAACCTGAACCTGTGTATGATTTTGAACTCTAGGAATCAAGGTTTTGTGAACTAGTTAGCTCTTAGGGATAATAGTATTATCTAGCAAGGGATGCATATTTTTTATTATATATATTTTTTGGCTGCATATTTAGACATTCTCAGATAAATCTGAAAAAAAATCAGGCATTATTGTGCAAACTATTACAATTAATTTTGGGTTTCTTCTTGACCGCTGATGCGAGATTATTTTTCACAATTTACTCTAGAACCCAATTGAATCCCCGGGCTTCTCATTTTTATCAACAACGTGGAAATGTATGTAGCGTGCAGTAGGTAAAATATTTAGACATAAAAATAAATAGTTTTTACATTAATCCATACTTTATTTGTATGGGTATTTTCAATTGAATAGGTAAAGTTTCTTATAATATTTATCGTAAATGTCATCCTTATCCTTTAAAGTGTATTCTAAACTTTTCACAACTAAGCTACGGGCGAGAATGCACAGCCAGTCTTTCTCGAACGTTATAATGGAGCAAGAGCGCACCCGCACCACACCAGAGGGTCGAATCGCACGACAATGTGTGGATGAGCTTGTTCAGCTTAAGTTAGATCACCAGTCCACCTTTGACTCTGCACTTCGGGTTCGTGCATTACAATCCCTGCGAACGCTCCCGATTTTGTCTACCGATGAAGATCCACACTTTATTGTAAGCATGCGTGCGCTCCGCGTTGCCGCGTACTTCGGCGATGTGCAGTCTCCATCGACATTTGCGTTGCTTAACCATATCACCAAGCACACTTATATGTTGGATGGGTTTAATTTATATCAGCTAATGGTCACTTTGTCGGATCTTCAACATCCACAAACAGTTGAACTACTGAACATTCTACGACCTCGCATTCATCAAGTAGTGCTTAATTATGACATCACTGCGGCAGAAGTTGTGCTTTTTTTGCGTGTACTTCACAAGTACCATATCGATGACTCGGAGTTGATTCAAAAGCTCGCAAACATTATACAGTACACGATCTCAGACCTTTCTCTAGTGGATGTCACGCGATGCATTTCTGCGCTGCCCTTTACACGTAGTGTGGAGATCACACAAAGGATCCTCACAACCGCCGAGGAAAAGCTGTGCGAGTTACTGGATGAAGCTGTGACAAACTACAAGGTGTACTGTGGGGGCCTTCATGACGGGTTTGAGTCTCTATCCACGTCATTTTATACTGATGATGGAGCGAATGGAAGGGCAAGCAAGCGAAATGAGGTTCAGACAATGCTTTTAATCAATGCCAAGAGAAGCCGTACACTTATTCAAGAGCTATCTAACACTCTGATTTGGGCCCGCCAGGCACCACGTCGGCTGATAAATGGGCTCCTTTCCACAGCACTCGTGTATTCGGAAAGTATAAATTCTCAGGAAATTTTGAAAGGCCTCATCGAAAAAGGTGAGATTCAGACAACATCTGCCGAGACAACTGAGATGTCTGGCTCGTCGTCTGTTGTACCCCCTGTTCCGTTTGAACCTAAGCCAAAAGGTATCCAAGCTCCACACCAGACTGTGCCTTCCTTCTCACGCCATGACATTTGTTTACTGATGAAAGCACTCTGTGAAGTGCATTACCGTCACGAGCGTGCATTTCTCATTTTAGCCAGCCGTGCGGTTACTGCTAGATCTTACCCGCAAGGCAATAATACTACTCAGGAGGAACTGCTTTCGAGTGATTCTCCACCACTTAATGCCTTACCACCTACGACACTTCTAAGGATCATTCAAGATCTAAGCTTGGTAGTTGAGTGTTTAGCATACTTTTACTTAGTCCATGCAAGGTGTACAGTAGCCGCGCTTCTGCAGGAAGTAAATAGTGTTTTATGCAATGCCATCAATCCGCTCCTGACGACCCAGGCGGTAGAGGCTTTGAGTCGACTTCTGGTGAGCCTGGCGCGTCTGCATTACCCAGCTGCCGCGGTCGCCGCTGGGGAGAGTAGCGATGTTTCGGTTCTGGAGTCGATATGCACATGTGAGGCCATTACACGCTACTGTATGAGTCCCTATTGCGCGCAGGATATTTTATTGGCCTCACATCTTCTTAGTGGGGTGGTCCAAGTCAGTGTTCAGCTACAGTTACCCCAGGGTACGACTGCTGCTCTTTCTTTGTCTGTCCAAAAACGGAGCGTTCTAGTGTCGCATTTGTTAAAGGCATTGTCACCTTCCATTCCCAATACCTCTGTTAGCCGGACACTGCCATCGATGTCCGATTCCGTTCCCCTGAATCACGTAATGAATGAAATAACTGCATCCATAGAACTGATTCAGGCTAATCCATCTGTGTTTGATTTATCAGTTATAGATCCTGCACTGAAAATAATAAAAGGACGTTGACAAGGTTATATTCAGGAGGCAAACAAATTCGAAAATTTTTTTTCGTTCACTTCGGCCTTCCCTTTCTATCGTCGATAAACATTACTGCTATTTTTTTTTTTAAGTTCATGTTTGAGTAATGCTTTCGTGCGAAGGTGAATTCGTGTAAGAAGAGTGATATATATATATATAAAACGATTAAGGATTTATATGTAGTTGGTTTATTCATTTGGAAAGTCCAATTCAAACCTAATATACATATTCACCAGCTCTTGTGCCCGCTTTTATTTCCTCATCTTTCGCTATTATTTTATACATTATTTTATTCTTGTCATTTTTCCTTCTATTGCTTTCCATGGTTTCTCATTTTTTCCTCATTGTACCGGTCTAGTTTTTTCTTATATTTTTTAAAAAAGTATAAACTCAATATATATTGTGTTTTACAGACTTTTTAATTAGTTTCACATCTTTAGCCTCTATTGTTTGAACCTTTTCAGTTTAGTCTGAGGAGTCCATGTACACTAGCGAACAGCTTATTAGTGCCGATTTTGACTCTGATGCCTATCTCAAACAGAAGTTGCATCTAACCAACACTTCAGATGAGCAAGCGCGTCTATCGCTTTGTATAGATGAGGTTAAGGAGAACATTCACAGCATATTATCGGAGCATTCAGATGATATGATTGATCAGCTCAAGGCCACTTACAGATCTCGACGAGATGTTGCGATTGCACGTCAATCTTCCGATTCTCTCATTAAAACTACTAGTCGTCTCAAGCTAATGATAGAGGAGCCATATCTGTTGATACGAGACAAAATCCAAGAGCTGGACACCACTAAAAATGTGCTTGATGTACTTCGACATGTGCAACGTTTTTTATCATTGTCCATCAGGCTTCAGGAATACAAATCGGTAACAGAAGCCGACCTCACTCGTATTGCACGAATCCTTTCTGAAATGGATAACCTTTCCACACATTCTGTTTTACGAGGCATCGACGTAGTGGAGCCGTGTCTAGGTTTGATGGAACGAACCGCGACAGTTCTTTTAAACAAAATTCACGAGCTGTTGTCGATGCATGACTTTTTTTCCCCTGAATTAGGGGAAGGTTACTCAAAGGTTTCCGGAGATAATGGGGAAGTGGTGCTTTTTAGCCTCAATAAGATTATGGTGGATGTCGATACAGCTCTTCAGTGCAGTTTTACCATGGGTACGCTCTCACGTGTTGTGCACAATTTTATGATTGAACACAAGCGGGAAGTCATCAAAACCATTGTGCGAGAGCTTGATCTCCTGTCTATCACAGGTATCCTTGGGAATTCAACGAATTCCAAGGTCAATGCAACTGCTGTCCCCGGGGATACCACGAAGGAGGTTTCTGATTCACAGGATAATGCTCTCATGGAACACATTCAATCAATCCTCTATGTTGTGGTGCAGCATACGCAGTGCATTTTGGTATTGTGGCAGGTGTTGCTCCGCAAACAGGAATCTGTGACGCATGCCAGTTTCATAGCGATGCTAGACACCCCTGTACAGCTGCTGATGGATTACTGGAATGCAGTTATGGACAAACTGCGTGAGCGACTTCTCGCTCTAGAAAAGCAAACCGATTTGCAAGCTGTCTTAGTCACCTGTTATCCACGCCTTCACATGCTTCTGGAGAGCTTTGTGTGTAGCAGAGAAAGTTTTATAGGGGACAGTGTACAGCAGCCAGATACCTTATTTCTTCCTTTGCACTATGTTCGACAATGGGGCATGGGTGACTATCTTGATTTAGTTCAGCATGCTGAATTTGAGGTAAATAAATTGGCAAGGAATACTACCTCTGACCCCAATGTTAATAGTAATAATAGTAGTATGAATATCAAGATGATAAGGCAAATGTGGCTCTTTGAGATTCTCAAAGGGCTTCAGCCGGGATTCACAGCGCAGATGATGAACCGGCACCGCAGTCAGCTCTTACCCTCTTTTGTCGTGTTGTCCACCATTACCCCATCATCGGTTGCCACCGGCAATCAGCCCATATCGGTAACTACTGACACTACTGGCATCTTGTCCAGGCACCGGGTCTCCACCACGCCGCTGCCGCAGACTCATGCAATAGAGCTTACTACCTATACCCATAACATTATTCAAGAAGGCTACATATATCGACAAGACCCACATACCCTGTTTCTCTTTGTGGAGTGTGTTCTGAAGTGTCTGTCCCAACTTTATGACAAGTTGAGGAAAAGCACGATACTATTTTCCTTGCCTCCCCTTCCTGCGGTGACATCCACTGTTACACGTACACAACTAATGCACATTTCTATCGCGAACGCTTGTACAATACTTGTGAATGACTTTACTAATTTACTGACTTTGCTTCCTGATGACACTGAGACACTAAGGTCTGAGAAACCTAGCAGCTCAAATGACGAAAGTAATAGCGACGATCTGGGGATGATACTGGGTGACTGGGCTCAGTCGTTAAAGATGTTGAGCCTCAAACGGCAGCAACTGCACGAGCAAATTCAGGCCTTCCGAGTTTTGAGTGAAGAAAGTTCATGGCCGTTTATGAACTCCATAAATGTTGTCCTCCTTTCAGCTGTTTCTCTATGCACAGAAGGCTCTCTCTCAGATCTTCATTCCCATAATAGTAACACTGCCGGTAATATATCACAGGGTGATCGAAGATACTCAGCAATTCTTCAGCTACAGAAACTAGTGGATGATTTTATGATTCATTTTTATCATCGTTTTGATCCATATACGTCGAACTTGGGAAACATAACTCGACGGGTTGTCGACTCACAATTGTCTCGTCTTGTGGTTAGTGTTGCTGTTATGAGTAGGCGGAGCGATACACAAAGTGGTAAGGATTGGTGTCATAGTGTACTTCGGTGTGTTGTACAAGTTGAGTCCATTTTACTTTCGATTACCGCAAGCCAACAAAATGGACAAGGCCGCAGTACACTACTTCTTAGAGGTGCTGTGCATCGATTAGTTCAATTCTACAATGCATGGTCCACTTCTCCGCAAACAGCACAGGAGTACGAGCAGGCTGTGGAACATATGCAAGCAGTCTTGAAGCCTCTGTTCCCTGTTCTCTCCCGTTTGCTTTTACTCCAACGTCTAAGCTTTACAGTCACTACGCCAATACACAAGGAACCACAAGAGTCTGCGCCAAACGTTACGGCCATCCTAGGGCTGAGCTTTGATGAAATAGTTGTGTGTGTGGAATCGGGATTGCGGCACTACTGTGATCCGTCTTTGGATGTGCTTACAGAGTGCGAGGTGGCGCAGTTGGAAAAGATTGAAGATGCGGTACAAACTTGCTTTGACAGGTCAATGAAAAATACTCAGGATCAGGATGAGACCGATCTTTTGGCTCATGTTTGGCAACTGCTATGAATATCTAAGGGTTTAGACGCATATGCCACTTAAGAGGCTTACTATCTTACACAAGAAGCTAAATGAAAGGATATATATATATATATCAAAAAATTCTACACTACATTACACGCATAATGTTCCTTTTTTGAACACTGAGCGTATCCTTGAAATCCTAGTATGTAGGTGTATAAGGTATTTTCACGATCAGGATATTTATGTATCCACATAAGTTTTTCACTCTCTCTTATATTTTTTTATAGTGGATGGAATCCTTAATCATAGTTAATTTTCACTCAAACTCCCTATGTCGGCATTGCTTATACAGCTCCAAACCATTCTAAAATCGTGGGACGATATTCAGTCATTATCAAATGAACATTCCAAAACGGAGGACCCTTTTTTCGAAACCTCTTCTGCTATTGGTAATTTTGTGTCTTTTGAAAAGGATCCCCTTCATGATGATACACACATTGGCGATAGTATAATTGACGAGATGCATCCTCAGTCATCACCTGTATCTTTGCCAATGTCAATAAAAATTTCCGAATTAATCGAAAAAGGTGGCACTTCTTTTTCGTCATATCACAATAATCGCCAAGTCTTGTGTAGGCTGGAGCTGGCCCGCGCTGCGCTGGCTCTTTTTGCCTCTAATGCTGGTGCGTATCGTCCCATTCTCACTCATCTTCTCCGGTATGTTTTTGAATGCATCGACTTTCTTATTAATAATCAGGCCCTACTTACACACCCAAGCCCCAGTGATGATACCAGTGCGGCCGCAAAAGGTACTCTTTCTAGTGCATGTGGTCTTGGGGTTGACATCAGCAAAGCGGAAGATGTAGTGGCAAGCGCCCATCAGAAAGTCCAGCTCGTGGAATCCCGGATGTCCGCATTGATCGAGGAGTCTACCGCTCAACGGGATCGGTTTAAGGCTCAACTGTTGGCGCAGCAGCAAACGCAAACCAAACTAGAACTCTTACTCCAGAATCAAATTGAGTTGAACCACTTGCTCACTAACCACCCCCTGGGGCATCATGATAGGGGGGAGCCCATGCTTGATCCTACCGGAGCCGCCAACATGAACCATCGGCAGGCAATCTATGCTCAGCAGCTTATCGCACGCGCGGAAAAGGAATCCACCATCATGGAGCTTGACACCCGGGTAGAGCAGCTAACTCTTGAGCGTGATAACTTACAAGGAAAATTGCTGAGCCTTAAGAAGCTCAACACTAACTATGCTCGTCAGGCAATTGAGTTGTCCGCACGGCTTAACATTCTACGGAATCACAACATCGCACTGTCTTCCGATGCCGTACTCTATCAGCACGACAAAACACGTGAGAGACAAAAGTCTCTGAAATTACAGACAGACTTAATGGTTGCACGCAATATGATTCTGGTTCTGCTTGAGGTTAGACGACATGATATGTTTTTCAGGTTCTCTAATCCCATTGCTAACTCCAATATAACAAAAACGGATAAGAATGTAGAGGCCTTGGGTAATAAGGGTAGCATAGAGGGTGCCCTTCCACCGAGCAGAAATGACATACTTGATGCATGTACGCAATTATACACCTCTTCCGAAAGCCCTTTAAATGGAGGCCGTCGTCGAAAGGATGATATGAGTTTAACTTCAGACTCTGTTAACCTCAAAAGTACGCTTCACGCGAATTTGGATGTTCCGATGTGCACCACAGAGGATCTCTTTGCCTCTGTTCAAGACAACATGCTGCGTAAGCAGCTTCAGGATATCATGCTCATTAACGATACCTCTAATGGTGGGGCAGCTAAAGGTGCTCTTCTCAAGCTGCTTAATTTACAGTGGGGTGGTCGTACTGGAAGCGATAAATCACCTTCACACAGTCAAGTCCCCATGCTCAAGGATGCCCGATTTCATTGTTGGGTCCCACCGTATGGATTGAACTGTAATGTACCGCTCCACCTTTGCAGTCGTGATTGCGTGATGTTGATACCTTTTCATCCACTTGTTGCTGAATGCTTTGTTCATGAGTTACTCTCACAGAGGCTTGAGTTTTTTGAGTTCTATGTACGAGCCCCACTGACTCTGAATTCTGATTCGAAGGGGAAGCATTTAACTTCGTCTGATAATGCGGCACAGAATAGTGACCTTGAAGAAGTTGTATTGCCTGCCAAAGAGTCGGATAAATGCAATTTTTATTTTCCTACCACAAACCCCATGTTGCTTCCACTTGATGAATTCATTGTGTTGTTTATTAGTATGGTGTGGCTAAATAAAAATGCTGTGACCGTACCAGAAGCAACACACCCACAGGATATCATTGAGAAGGATAATCCAACTTCGTCTATTTTGAACCAAAGGATGGGAAAGTCCGTAACCATCGATGCCTCTTCAAAAGCAATTCAGTTTTTTCACCAGTACAGCTCCTTCCATGGATTTCAGGCGGCATCGGAGCATACCGTCTTTGAAAAGCAGTCACAGCTGACGGTCGAGGGCCTCAAACTAGCATATGGACTGGACGTGGTCTCGCGGCGGCAGGACTGTAGTTTTTTAACTTACGCCTACGGTCTTGTGTCTCGCCGGGAGATTTCAGAAATTATCTTTGCCGTAATGCGCCATGAGCGCGATGTTTTTTTGATGCTATGCGAAACCGTTGAGAGGGAGCATTTATCGAGAAGAGGGACCACACACCCGGCAAAACACGGTTCTATTAAGGAACCGCATCATAAACCTAGTCTAAGCGATCCTCCTATGATTGATCCCAACTTGGCGTCTTCCAACGGCGCAATGGCTTCTGATACCCAATCCTCAATCCAGGCCATACCACATCTTGTAGGCTGTATCCCTACTCTACAGCTGGCGCGAATTTTAATTAGCATATTTCCCTCTTACCCCATTTCTCGAATTGAGGAGATGGTGATGGCAGGAATTGAGGATGGTGCGGACCTCGTCCAGGCTCCCCACATGTTGTATTATAATGTACTTCTTCCCGAGAGGCTTCTTCCTGGATCGGTGGTGAAGAGGACTGAGATGGAGCTGTCGGTGTTCTTGAGCGAGGGTCGCTTTGCCACCATGTTTTATAAATCTATTTGCGATGATGCATTGGAGTCCATGCAGCTACTGGATGATACCTTGCAGAAATTTGGGGCTACTTTAGCCATTCAGAAGCGGCAGATGGGGTTGATAGACACCCTTCGGAATTCTACGAATTTTTACAGCCCCGATATCCTTGTATCTGCTGAGCAGCTGACAGTATTTGCGCTGAAAAAGCTTCCAGCTGCGGAAGGACGGCGGTGGGGTCCAGCGCTTACGAGTGTGTTCACGCGGTGTCCGCTTTTACATCCGGCATTGTTGGCTTCACGAGCGAGCCCAATTCTTGAGAACGAAACACATGACACTGAAAGTGAGATACCCATGGTCCCGACATCACAATCAGCACATTCAGGGCACGAAGTATTCTCTAATCCATCTGCCTTACCAATCAAGAACTCTATTGCAAATCTAAACGCTTTCAGAGGTGAAACGGGTAGCGTTAAATTGTCTGAGATTATGATTTACCTAAGATGCCACATTGTTCTACGCCGCGGTTTGTATTCAAAGTATGTGGAAGCTGTTCAGCCAGCTCAAGTTTCGCAGGGAACTTCCATCCAGGACGGGACATTTCAACCTGTGTGGACGGAAGCCCATCTCGAGTACCTTAAAACTCTGCAAGATATATGGGAGCATAATGTACTCAAGGACGAGTCTGTATTGGTGACGGATGCGGAGTTCTTCTGGAAACTCCTTTTGGAGGTGGATCCCTATCGAGCTCGAGTATGGACTACGGCTGATATCTCGCACGGAAGCCCGTTATTGCGTCATGAAGGGATTCTTCGGAGCGACAGAAACAACGCTGATTAAGATATGATTTGAGGATTAAAAGTTCAAGTGATAAGTACAGTTTTATTTTATGTCTTAAAGAGTTCCAATGGAAATAAACACTCGATTAGTTGTACTGGAACATGACGACGTGTTAACTTTACCCCTTTTGAATAACTATACCAAATCGATTTGTGTTTTGAATCTGTTTACGAATATGTGAAGAGGATTCATCCTATGGCTCCTCGATATATATATACATATTATTTATCTCTAGCTTTAATTTTTATAATCAGTGCAATTTTCAAGCATTCCTGTGCAGAGATTTGCTCTCAGTGTTTTAGTGGATATCTAGTTGTGAATCGCAAAAATAAGGGTACATCCAAAGGGTTTTATTTCACAATGTAAGGCTCAACATCGCTGCAAATACTGTTAACTTATCAAAAAAATTATGTAATTTTCTATGCAATATTATTATTATTTAATTGTAGCGATCCGAACCACCTGCTTCAAGAAAAAACACCATATTCCCTGTTCCCAACCACAACTTCCAGCTTTGGTAGCTGATGACATCCCCAAAGACTGTGAATGATATAATCATGCAGCAACTATATGGCTCTTTTTCCTATTAGTTATCATAGCGGGTTGGCGACAACTTCCCTCACACTCAAAAAAATAAAAATACAATAAAAAGGAACCAAACCCCATTTCAATCTATAATATCTATCCCATCGCGTGCTATTTCTCCACTGAG